GTTTTAATATAAAGTTGATGAGAAAACAACTGGTTCTGCAGCACAGCCACTGCCTGTGTGGAGTTGGCACGTTATCTCCATGTTTGCCTGGGTTTTAGCCAGGTACTCTGGTTTTCTCCCACTTTCTTAAAATGTGTATGTTAGGTTAATTAGTATGTGTCCATGGTCCCCATCTGAGTGTGTGTGAGAGTGTGTGTGTGCATAAATGTGCCCTGTGGTGGCATGACATCCTATCCAGGCTGGTCTCTATCTTGTCCCTGGAGCTGCCGGAATAGATTCCAGCCACCTAGAAACCCGAACTTGAGTAAGAGAGTTGGAAAACAAATGAATGGATACAAATTATTGTAAAATGAAAATCTGTCAAGTATACAATAATCATATCAGTGCAGGACAAGAGATGAGATAGGGAAGTGCTCAGCAAGTCCGCCACATTTATTGTTTGTTTGTAAACTGCATGGTGGTAAGAGGTGCTCCTAAAAATTTTTGCTTTGCAAACATTTATTCCTTGATTTAACCTAATACCACTAAAATCACCGTCATTTACTGATTCACCAAATATTGAGTAAATAATTGTCGTCACATTACGTTTTTATTAATCTATCTTAAATGTACATGTGACTCACATTTATTTCAATGTTCAACATTAAAAGGGATTTGGGTCATTAGTGTGAAAGTTAAGCATATAAACTGAGTCATTCTTGTCATGCCCAACTAAAACAGAGTCAAGAAACCAGAGGGAAGAAAGCACTCAGGGCATATAACATTGCCCCAAGAATGTAATTCTCTGCAAGCTTGGCTGCTGAAACTGCCTGCTATAACTTGAAACCAGTTTCGTCTAGTATCTATGGAAACAACCTGTTAGAACTCTAAGACTAGTTTTATCCACTGCCTTCACTCACCAATCAGAACTTGCCAGCTCCTCACATTTTACTAGTGCCAGTTGAACTTTCTTTCAAAATGGTACAGAATATTTCTCCTTTTTGTAAAACCTCTAACCTTCTCTTTGTTCTTCGGACATACGAAAGACCCACATTGCTATTCTTGCTTCCCTAACAAAATTGTAAGCTTAGAGGTGCATCTCTAAATTTGTATTTTGATTTCTACATTAGTGAGAGGTTTGGTGATATTTTTGTGATCAGAAATATGCCATAGGAATGTAACTCTTGTTATATCAATTATCTCACTGTAAAATTGGTTTCATTATATGTCATTTTGCTTAATATCACGGTTTCCTAGAATATATCAATAACATTAAGTGAGGACTCATTGTATCTGTAGGCTTAACAACTTTTCTATTGAAGTCAGGCTTTTGGTATATGTGAGATATTTCTGATGATTAGCTAATTTACAAAACTGGAAATTGCCATAACTGCATTATAAATGTAAGTGATAGCCTGCACGGCTTTCTTACTTTTATACATTAAGTTTATGATAGATCTATAATCTTACAAAGGGTTGGTGGCCTTAAATTCCTTGTTTTGTAACACAGGAACAGAAAACCAAACACCGCATGTTCTCACTCATTAGTGGGAGTTAAACAATGAGGACACATGGACACAGGGAGCGGAGCATCACACACCAGGCCCTGTTGGGGGATGGGGAGCAAGGGGAGGGACAGCATTAGGACAAACACCTAATGAATGCGGGGCTTAAAACCTAGATAACATGTTGATAGGTGCAGCAAACCATAGCATATATATACTTATGTAACAAACCTGCATGTTTTGCACATATATCCTAAAACTTAAAGTAAAATAAAAAATAAATAAATAAAATAAATTCCTTGTTTTGACGTTGCATTTGTCTAAAAACCAAACCCTTTGGAATCGACAGACCAAGAGTTTTCTCCATCCCCATTTACTTAGATTTCTCTTATCATTACAGAAAATGTGGAGGAGTTTGGCAATTGGTTAATATTCCAAGAAAAAAAGAATAAAAACTGCAAATTAATTTATAATTACTAATAGAACATTTTTAAATGAAGAAAATAAGGAGATGAAAAGGATAACAGATGAAGTTTCTCACTAGCATCCCGAGAATATAATAAATTGGTTTCAAAATATCAATTTGATAATAAACCAAATTACTCTTATCTCTCCATGTATGAATTAATTAACATGTTGACATATCACTTCCATTAAGTAGTAACAAGTAAAATCTCTTTGGATACCCAATAATCATTTCTTCAAATAGTGTCAGTTCAGCAAAGGTAAATTATTTTTCTGACATAGGAATGAATGCCAATATATAAACATAATAAGATTAAAAGATATAGTGACTTCCTAGTTTTCTACAAGTTTATAAAGCCATTGCTTTAATCACATTTCATTCCTCAAATTACTACAAGTGTCTGCCACAATAAAATGTTAGACATATATCCCTGTTATATCTCAAAAAATTTTTGATTGAAAAACAACATTTATTTGGGGTCATCTTTGATAAGTGGACTGTCTTTTTAAATGTATACAATTTCCCTCATAGTTACAAGTTTAGACACCAGAACCACTTTGCAAAAGACTTAAAATATTTGCTTAATGCTTGCTTTAGAGCATGTACTTTAAATATGGATGTCAAGCATTGAACCAAAAGTAGTTTTTTACTTTTTAGTTTATAAATAAAAGGGAAAATGAGGTTATTTTGAAGATTACTAAAGTACTACTGCTAAACTATTTTTACTATTTTTTACATTCATAAAACCAAGAGGTTTTGAGCTAAAACATTTCCTTCTCTCTCACATATACACACCCGAGTGCACACCTAACTCTTCACATATACCAACATTCACATGTAGCTTTATTAAAGTCATATGTTGAACTCTCTCCTCTCACCCTACACATCAGCACTAATTTACATAAGTAATGAGACGGTGAACGAATATAGAAATAAGATAGCACTAAAGCAATAGTCTTGTCACTCAAAGTATGCTTCAAGATCCAGCAGCATCAAGCATCACCCGGGAAGTTGTAGAAAGGCAAAATCCCAGATCACCCTCTAGTAAGAACCCCCAGGTGATTCACAGGTACGTTAAGTGTTAGAAACATTGTTCCAGACTGGTAGCTCTCAAAGTGTGGTCAACATCACCTAGGAAACTAGGTGAAACTAGAAATGCAAATTTTTAGACCCCACCCCAGAACTACACATCAGAAACTCTGGGGGTAGAGACCAGCAATCCGTGTCTTACCCAGGTCTCCAGGTTGGTAAAGAGTGGCAGCTGGTCCCATTATCATGACCACATGCCCAACCATGAGGGCAGCGGCATTGACAGCTGCTGGGCACCAGGAAATACAACCTCAGAAGAACTTTTACAAATCTAGCAGAATTTGTATCTGCTTAGCTTTCTAAACTCACCTCTGCCACTCTTCCAATAGCTCACTAAGCTCCAGCCACAAAGCTATTTTCTGCCTTAGGAACCCCACATTAACTATTTCCTCTCCCTAGAAGGTTCTCATCCTTCTCTTTACCTGGATAGCCCCTTCATACCCTTTAGGGCCCATCAGAAATGTCATCTCCCTAGAAAAGCCTTCTCTGAGCCATCCTAAACTTGTTCTTTCTTTTTTTCTGTCTGAACCTTGTTTTCCTCATAGAGTAAATCATCATTCATAGTTACGGCATTTGTTAATTTACTTGTTTACTATCTTTCTTTCCCACCAGCCATTAACCTCCATGGTGTAGGGCCCACCTCTATCTGGACCACCCCCTTTCCCCTAATGCCTAACACAGTGTCTGGTGTATAGTAGACTTTAATGAACATGTGCTGAGCCAGGCATGGTGGCTTATGCCTATAATCCCAACACTTTGGGAGGCTGATGTCGGAACATCATTAGAGGACAGGAGTTTGAGAGAAGCCTGGGCGACATAGCAAGACTTCATCTCTACAAAAAAAAAAAATTTAATTAAAAAAGAAAATAAAAAAATAAATGCTCGCTGAGTAAATGGCTAAATAAGAGAGATGACGAAAAGAACACCAGACTCAGGTAGATGGGGACTTACCATTGTTAATGGAGGTGGTACAAAGACTTATTCTTTCTACAATCGTATTGGGTGAAAGAAATGGTCTTTGCCACACTGAATTAAGAAAATAAGTAAACATAAGTTGACCGTAATGTTCAATACTTTTCTACATTAGAAGTTCTTTAAATACTAGAAGTTCTTTCTCTAAAGCATTTAATATTTTGTCATTTTTAAAATGTTATATAAATAAAAGAACTTTCACCTGAAAAGCAATGAAGCCAAAACGTTACATTACAATGTTTAATTCCCTTTTGAATGTGTGTTGAATTTAATACAAATCAATAAAGCACTTTTCTAGGCCAAAAGGAACCAATGTTACATTTAGAAGGCAATTGACTGCATAAAAATATAATCTACACTATATTTTTTAAAAAGAAATTCAAAATCTGATTCTATGGTTAATGTGGTATAATAATGTCTTCTTTACAGAGCAAGACACCACAATAAAGTAATGGCACAATAAAGGAAGTTTTGTTGTTTTTTACTCTTGGTATTATCTTCATATCCCAGTAAAAAATAAACTCTTTAATAAATAAATATATATAATAAATATTTTCAAATTGAAAATGTATAAATAGGTCCATTGTTTTAAAAAATGTTCTGTCTTGGTGTGGCATGTTTCCTAGTTCATGTTTCACCCAGGTGTTGTTTAGTTTTTTGGTTTTTTTTTTTTTAAACATATAATGCTATAACCTGTGAATTCTACAAGGTCCTCAGAGTTTATGTAGCAATAATCTTGGTTAAGTCAATCCATTTCTTCAACATGAATCCTCTAGTTTTAACATAAATTTTAAAGTAAACATAATCCAGAGAGGTGAGGCACCAGCAGCAACCATGTGAGGGTTCCCATTATCCACAATTTAAGAGATTTTTGGCATCAGTCTACTGGTAAGGACTAATCCAACGTATCTAAGGGAACTTAATTCACATATAAAGAGTGATCATGATCTATTTCTGGTCAAGACTTTTTTTTTGTTTTTTTCTCAGTATTCTTTCCAAATCCAGTCTCCCAGTAGAAAATAGACTTTAACATTCTGAATGTCTTCCTGGGTCATTATTTTATGATGGGAACTATGATAAGAAAGAATGGTTGTGGTTTGACTCCTCCATAATGTCACGATCACACTTCAAGTGTACATCAGTAGGTCCTTGTACAATTCTGGAACTCTTTCTGGATCCACTGGTCTAGGTAAGAAATGTGTAAACTTCTGATGTCTTTTGGACCTGGCGCCATCTCTTGGAGTCCCGTCTTTGTTAAGTGCCACAAAATACCTGCGGCCAGTGTCTCCATGTTTATATATATTAGAAGAATAGGTGTTATACCAGTTCTCTTCAAATTGCTCCCTAAAGATGCATTCAGAAGTAAGTTTCTCCTGAAAGAGAGAAGGTAACTATTATTTTTTTAAAAATACCTTTGAGATAATTGCCTCACAAGTTTCAACTCTTTATTTTCATTTCTTTGCCTTGTCAAAGAAAGAAAAAGGTTAAATTGGTTTTGTTTTGTTTTAGTTAATATGTCATCTGTGATTCTTAGTGCAAGTGACTTGATCTGGCAGTGTACTTTAAAGCAGCAGTCCCCAACTCTTTGGTACCAGTGACCAGTTTCATGGAAGACAATTTTTCCATGGACCAGGATGGGGAGAGGAGATGGTTTCAGGGTGATTCAAGTGCATTACATTTATCGTGCACTTCATTCCTATTATTATATTGTAATATACAATGAAATAATTATATGTAATATATAATGAAATAACTCATCATAATATAGAATCAGTGGGAGCTCTGAGCTTGTTTTCCTGCAACTAGACTGTCCCATCTGGGGGTGATGGGACACAGTGACAGATCATCAGGCATTAGATTCTCATAAGAAGCATGCAACCTAGATCCCTCACATGCACAGTTCACAAAAGGGCTCATGCTCCTTTGAGAATTGAATGCCACCACTGATCTGGCAGGAGGCAGAGCTTACGTAGTAATATGAACAATGGAGAGCAGCTGTAAAATCAGATGAAGCTTTGCTCACTTGCCTGCCGCTCACCTCCTGCTGTGCAGCCCAGTTTCTAACAGGCCACAGACCAGTACCAGTCCATGGCCCAGGGGTTGGGGACCCCTCCTTTAAAGAACTTGAAGTCAAATGTCAATTCCCAATTTTATTTTCAAATACCTAATAAATACCCTGAATTTTCTCATGTCCCATATTATCACCCTACTACTCCCATCACTACCAAGCAGACCTGTAGTTTATCTTTTTCCATCGTTAGATGCCACAGTCCTATCTATCGAGCCTCTACTCTCAGCTTGGAACATTTCAAGATCTTGCTAAGAACCAAATTCCAAATTCATGATCATCATTCCAAATCATATATCTTCTCTTTATGAATTTACTAATTGTTTGATGATACAGTCTCCACGATTAATTTGTATCTGGATCTCTTATGATTAAGATAAAAGCCCAATGATTTATTGTCTTTTCAAAATGGACTATATATTGTCCTAAGGGATAAACCACAGTTGCTTTTTTAAAAATCCAACATATACATGAAGACTGTGTGCATATTTTTTTTCTGTTGTACTTCTATTAATTTTATTGTAATTCTACACTTACGATTATTACACATTAAATTGTTTTTCTTTGCTCTGAGCTGACAGGAAGCCTAGAAATAACAAGTTTTACCCTTATGAAGGACAAATATTCATCTGCTTCTGTATCATCACCAATTCTTCTCGGTGTATATTAAGATGTTAGCTGAATATTGTGGTTCCAGTTGAGATTTTAATAAAAAAACGTTACCACATAGTGCCATCTGCTTAATCATACAAAGTCAATTCTTGATGGAAATAATTATAGAGACTTGAATCTCAAGAAGAGAGTTCACATAAGAAGAGGACTGGGATACTGGCATACATTTTTATCTTACCAATTCTTGTAAAAGCATATAAGCAACTGTGAACAAATGAAAAATGTTAACAATGAAAGAGAAAACTCCATATTGTGCTGTAAGGTAGAGTGTGATATCGTCCTGCTCTTTTAATTATTGTGTTGCTACTGCAGCTTTGCTCTAAAAAAAAAAAAAAAAAAAAAAAAGCAACAACAACAAAAAACTTATACTGATGAAATATTAACCTGAGAAGTATACTTTATGTGGCATATTTAAACATATGTAGTAGACCCACAGATGTGCACTTATCCCTAGGAGCAACTTAAAAATTGCCCAATACAACTTTGAGTGAGCCCATGGCTACTGTAATTTTCAAGACTACAGGCATAAAAGAACAGTGTGTTTGCCATCTTCTCTTGTTACTTGCAGTATCCCACAACTTTATTCACTTATTTCTTACATAAAAAGGTCAGCAAGTGAGTGATGTATATTTAGCTGTGGAAGATGATAACAGGTAAACAAAGTTTACCTTAAATAAACATAACGGTGAGAGAGTCTAACATGGCAAGAAAAAAATATTCTCCCATTTATCTCTGTCTCTGAAGGGAATTATTAAAATACAGAGAAAACTAGAAAGACTCAAGGTAATGAATAGGAAGAACTAGTGAGCTGAAGGCAATAATGGTTGGGGGTTTTAAAAATATAACTGAGTTACTATACTATTGCCCAGACACATGGAAATTTAGCAGGATACAGAATTCATTGTCTACGTAACTATGTTTTATACACTTCTAACAGACATTATTGGTAGACACTTTAATTGCATAATAGTCATTATTTTAAGAACTACAATAATAATTAAAAAATACACATAATACGTACTGATCCATAGAGTTCTCCTTTGTCATTCATTCCAAGATAGAGACCACTGTCCACACCTCTAATACTGACCAGTCCCACTGCCACACTGATGAATTCCAAGATACCTGCGTATGTAAACAATTCATAAAAACATCATGTTTTGTATTTATGAATGAACATATGACTAACAAAAATCTTCCGAACAGTAGCGGTAGTTGGCCATTACTGCCAAATATAATGATGTATGTGTAAAAGTCCTTTGTAAATTGAAAACAGCTACGCAATTGTTTTATGACAGATGAAAAAAAGACAAAAAAGGAAAAAATTGTTCATCATGGTGAGACAACCAAGTATAAAGGGGTTCCTGGAGAAACTCTGACCGGCCTGTGTGCTGGGACAACAGGATGGCGCCTCGGGAAGTTGACGCCCTTTGCAGCGGGAAGGAGCCTGGCCTCTAGTAATGGGGTGGTAACCTGGGATTCAATCTGTGAGATGGGGGCCTGTTAACAGGAACCCCTCTTTGCTTAGTTTTTTTCTTTTTGCTCAATAAATTCAATTTTTCTCACCCTTCTATGTGTCCATGAGCCTAATCTTTCCTGGTCATGTGACGAGGACCTTTGCTTTTAACTGAACTAAAGAGAAAGTCCTACAACAATGGTATAATGTGAACGGTGTGAAACCTTACACCATACTGAGCTGGGTTTGAATTCCAGTTCAGGAACTTACTAACTAGATTGAGTAGGGGAGTCATTTGTCTTCTTTGAACTTTAACCTCTCATATGCAAAATGGAGGAAATACCTCCCTAAAGGAGATGGGTGAGGACTGACACATTTAGGCATTCAACAAATGGAAGCTATTATTATCATAAATTAGTACATAATAGAGGTATTCTCAGTTTTCCATGATCCCATCAGTTAATTATAACCATTTTCTATTCATTGTTTTGTTTTTATTTACAATAAATCAAGTCAATCTGTTTCTAGGAGCAGCAGCATCCCTTATTGGGTATAACAGTGTTTTACAGTTAATAAACAGCATCTGTTGGTATTTTCTCACCTGGCCCTAAAAAACAAGCCCTTAAAATAAATAGAGAAGATGTTATTATCCCCATTTTCCATATAAAGAAACTGAAGATCAGAAAGGTTACTTGATTTGCCTAAGGGACATGATCTTTATAATTGGTAGAACTGATATTTAAACTTACATTCTTAGCCCTAATCCACTGTTTCTACTTCAGGACATTGTTTCTTGAGGAAAATACAGTAGTTTCAAGACTTTACAGATTACATAATATGCTATGTTTCCTGCTATGTAATTTTAAAAATTAAATTGTATAGTTCAGAGAAGAAAAAGGACTTCATAATTCATTAAATATGATAGCAAAATACAGTAAATTTAGCATGCAAGTAGATTTGCTATCAATAACTTTCCAGAATTATTTCCATTTATCAGTAAACTAGGATCAAAAACTCTTCCCTAAATACACCGATACACTATAGTTTAAAAAAGTAAAACTTAACGCCTCCCTCTGAATCACCCTTTTTTTTCTACACACACTAAACTTTGGACTAATGCCTTTGTCTCATTCTTCCCTCTGACTCTGCTGAAAAAGCATAGCTGTATTTTCTATGCTTGGAACTGCCTTCCTCAATAGCATTCTACCTTCACCCCTTCACCCCATCCTGAGCTCTACAAACAGTATAAATGTGTACCATTTAGCCTGACTCTTGCTCTTAAGTCATTTCTTGATTTATTGTACAAGTTCCTGTTTGGACACGTGATACTCCCAAGGCCAAGGGAAAGTACAGAATCTGACTATTCGCTGATATGCAGGGCTCTATTCTATCCAAAGCCTAATTCACTCTTTGTCAGAAACAGAGATTCTTAGCCAGACAAATGAGCTCTTTCAAACTATTAGGAGATCATGTAGAACACTAGAGCTATCAAGGATCTTACAGCAACAATACACTGCTAAATAGTCTATAAGTGGCTTGAAAGAGCCAGGATCCCTCATTGAAAGCCTAAGGCAGAGAGAAGATAAGATATAGCAAGAAGGCTCAGACTCCATAGGACAGCCATCATAATGACAAATACAGAGGTGGGGAGTGAAGGAAAATCAAACTCACTGCCAAGTTCGTTAGCAAAAGAGTCCTGCCAGGAACAAAAACATAGGCCCAAAACATAATTGGTAGAAAATATATATAGTAATGTAATTTCATTCAGAATATAATTACAAATGTATAATTACTTTGTATTGAATGTTACATTCAAATTAAAAAGTGTACTGTGGCTGAAATGCAACTTAATTCCCTTTAAGTATCTGATTTACATTAAGATTCTCTTGTCTTTCAAAGAACAGGAACTGATTAAGTGATTAGAATGTAGAATAGAACAAGTTTTCAATTACAATAAAATATGGCTTTAATTTCCATATAAGCTAATTATATAACAGATCTCATAAAGTGTTCCTTTTTTCTCAGAAAACTCAGAGGTAAACCACCTATACTTTAATTCTTATCTTAATGCTGTCATCTTGCCAAAAAAATATGTAGCTGTAGAAAGACAAAAGAGGACTTATGCTCTTAGAATAATCATATGCAATAGTTTTAACTTTAGTAAACAACATCCAAAACCTTATATATAACCAGGCATAAATAATTTTGCAATGGCTCATGGGACTGATGGGAAAGAGGTTATATGTTTTGTGTGTGTGTTCCTCTTATTAAAGATTTTAGTCACACTTTTAAATTCTGATCCTTTTTCTCCTTGAGGAAATAGTATACCACGTAGTAATTTGTAATCATCTGATTCTTAAATGAGATTTGACAAGTCTTTCTTATTTATAATATGAGGTGGCAACTAAGCTAATTCCTTTACAAAGAGTAGACATGAAAAACTTTCCTTAAGAGGTAATCACAGATTTTAGATAGATTTTCTAATGCCCAGTGTCCCATAAAAAAGACTTGGAGGTACTTTGTCTTTCTGGTATCACTTTCAAAGCCAGTCTTTTTAATAATCATAATAAACAGGTGAGTCAACCCACAATGCAACCACATCAGACAAATCTATGGAGAATAGGGGAGAATAAAGGAAAAGCCTTTAAAGAAATATGTTTGATCTCAGGCTAAACTTTTTTTTTTTCAGAAATGATTCCATGTTTACGTATTAGGTAAGGTGTTCCTGCTGTACTACTGCGCAGGAAAACTCCATTATAAATACAGAGATACCTCATGGCCAAACTAGTATAAAATTGGCAGGAAAAAAAAAAAGTTATTCCCTTTAACATCTCAAATAGCCATCCTTGAGTTTTCAAAACTGTTACTCTGATAGCAAAGATAAGAGTTTAAAAAAATAAAAAATAATTTAATAATTAGTAACTGAAGCACTAGCAAAAGAAGCCAAACATACAGAAACACATAATCTTATATAGGTTGACATAAACTTTCTTCTTACCTACACTCCCTTAAAGTAAATTATGATGTCTAAGCTATCGAAGGCCACTAGTATGCACTATAATATATCATAAGGAGGCCATTCACTCCCAGACTAATCTGGGTTATCTTCCTTTTGTTTAACAGTGAGTATTTTGTTCCTATACATAGCCTCCCACCACAGAGTGACTTACACTGGCGCAAATTCAATCTGTCATGTTCTTTGCAGCTACTAAATCATTAACACAAATTTAGCAAAAACAAAATGTGCTAGCCAGATGACAATTCTGATATTCAACTTCCATTCCTAAAGAAATGCCATTAAATGCCATTAATGAATGTTATCGAGTCTACAAATATTTACTAATCTCTCCCCATAGGGTTAGTCTTATAAACAGACACAAAGCAGAAGCGGCCTTTTTTTGTTTGTTTTTTTTTTTCCCTGTCACTGGGGAGATTACAGTGTAATTACAAGGTTTTTTGTTTGTTTGTTTATTTGTTTTTTGAGATGGAGTCTTGGTCTGTCACCAAGGCTGGACTGCAGTGGCGTGATCTTGGCTCACTACAATCTGCACCTCCTGGGTTCAAGCAGTTCTCTGCCTCAGCCTCTCGAGTAGCTGCGATTACAGGCACCCGCTGCCACACCCGGTTAATTTTTTTTTTTTTTTTTTTTTTTTTCAGTAGAGACGGAGTTTCACCATCTTGACCAGGCTGGTCTTGAACTCCTGACCTCGTGATCCACCCGCCTTGGCCTCCCAAAGTGCTGGGATTACAAGGGTGAGCCACTAGGCCCAGCCACAAGTTTCTTAAAAGCAGAATTTCCAAGGCTACACTGTGTATGGCAGGGTGAAATTCTAACTACTACCTAAGCTTAACTTCTACCTGCTATCTACCTATAAGTATTACCACATTGTGTTTATTTCTAAATCTTTCTGGTAGTTGAAATATTTTTCTGCAATGAGCGCAGTGAAGTCATCGTTAAAGGCAAGAGAACTGAGCCACCTGGTGTTGGTAAAGTTCTTTAGAATCGAAATCTCAGGGCCAGACACAGTGGCTCACTCCTGTATTCCCAGTCCTTTGGAAGGCCAACGCAGGAAGATTGCTGGAGGCCAGGAGTTAGAAAAATCTCAAGCCTCCCCAATTTAAAAACCACTTTCTAAAAGTGACCCCAGGTTGGCCACTAGGTCATGACACTCTTGACTGATAGTCAATGGGAATTTGGAAGAGATCAGTGGAAGCAGCAAACATGTGGGTTTTAAAAAGTTCATTTTCTAAGCCTTTAAGTGCTACCAAATGACCACCACATGCTTATTTCCACATCTAGGGTTACAAATGCCCCCTCAAACTGAGATTTACACTTCTCCAAAGTTTTAATGAGTCCTACCAGTCAAAAAGGGAGTAATTATAAGAACAGGGTGTGAGGACACGATAAGAGAGGGCCATTTAGAGATGGGGTAAATTCTCAAAGAACTTCATAGCGCTGCGGATTGTGGCTGACACATTAACGGTATCTTTTTTAAACATATAACGAATTTTTCAAATAATGTCAAAAGTCTGATGATCAAAATCCTTTGAGATTGCTAGCAGGTTAACTAATAGAATGGAAACTTCAGCTATGGGGAAAGATCCTGAGATATGAGAATCGGAGAGCACCCCATCTTCGTACAGAAAAGAAAACTAAGCCTCAGACTGATGAGGGGACTTGCTAGTTACACAGCTAGTTAGGAAGTCAGGAGAGACCCACCCGATCCAGTATCCCGTAACACACACTGCCTTAACAATCATTCTCTTGTTTCTTTTAACCCCTTCTCTTCCCAGGCACTGCTGGACGTATTCTGAAACACGTCCCTCTGTGTTCCCACCCATATCTTCTTTCGCTTTCCCATTTCCTCTTTCCTAAGGTCAATACCAAGATCCTTGCTTTCAGGTTGCAGAATTTCTAAAGAGGAGCTTGGCTGAAGAACTAGGCATGCTCAGTAGCCGGGTGGTCTTCCCCCTCCCCCGCCCCTCCCCGCTTTCCTTTTCTTTTCTTGCCCAGATAGAACTTAGGAGCTCAGGGAACCTCAGACAGGTGAGCCCTACAGTAGCGAAGGTGCCCACGGAAAGTTAATCTGCTAACTCTTCAGGTGAACATTTGCAGATCTCTAGATAGACACGTAAATGCTCGCAATCCATGCCAAGAGCAGCCCCGGGTGCATAATCAGCTGCATAACTGTGGGGCATGTTTAAAGAAGCCCAGTGCTTCCTGTTGTTAATTTTTGTAAAGTGGACGGCATGAGGGAAAATGAGAAAGGAAATCGGAGAAAAACATATAGGGATTTTTTTTTTTTTAACTGCTTGCGAGGTAAGCAGTGCAAGAACTGTGATGCCGAGTGCACCAGGTCGTGGTGTCCCCGGCAGTGGGAAGGGCAATAGGGAAAGCAGGAAGGAGCTTGCGGAGCGCCCACCCTTTCTCCCTCCCCCAGCGTCTGGAGCTGCTGCCCTGCTAGAGGCTGCGGCGACAAACTGGCAGGAAAATTTCTCCCCGCGCCTACTCTGGCCCGCCCTTCAGCCCCAGTCTGCCTCTCGCAACGGCAGGGTCCAGGGGAGCTCCGGGTTCCGCGCAGCGCTGACGCCCTTGGCAGGCAAAGAGGGAGGTGCACCGGCAGGGGACGAGGAGCAGAGCTGGGGCGCAGGTGGGGGTGGGGTCGGGATGCTAGTACGTACCGAAGAGGCTGTGGTCCTGCCGGGTGCCCTGCACGCTGCCGTCGGGCAGGATCTGCAGGTGGAAGCCGGTGCGGCAATAGAGCTGCCGGCGGCGCAGGATGCCGTGCAGGTGCGCCAGCTCCGCAGCCCCCGGCCCGCCGCGGGCGCTCCGCTCCGCCGCGCCCCTGCGCTCGCCCAGCAGGGGCGGCCGCTCCCCGGCAGGAGGCAACAGGAAATGCGAGCCCACCTGCTGGCCCAAGCCCTCCAGGCCGCCCAGAAAGCCCCCGACTTCGGCTAAGGGAGCCATGAAGGGGGAGATCCGGAACACAAAAGACCCCCCAGTAAAGAGTGTTGCGGGTGTGGGATGGAGGTGGATAGAGAAAAATTATAGCAAAACGAGCGCAAAAAGTTAAGGCCCGGTTACTCCTCTGAGGTCGCTCCGGAGGGACTTTGCACTGAAATGGCAGGGAAGCTCTCACTGTCTTGGAGCGATCTTCTCTCCTTGGGTAGGTGGGAGCCGGCTGCTGGCTCTGCAGAAATATCTATAGCTGCCGCTGCCAATACTAGGACTAGGGCTGGGGGCTGGGGCTCCAACTCCGCAAACTGATCAGATCAGAGTCCTGTGTACATACACACCGAGTATATAAGCGGGTCCTCTTGACATATGCTAATCAAGTCCTTTCATGCGCGCTGGGGAGGTTCTGTTTGAAATCTTAAACCGGTCTCCTCTCAACACGTTTTTGCTCTTCGGAAGTGACCAAAAGGGGCCCTTGGCACTTCTCCATCCATGCCCTCGCAAAAACCATTCCTGCACTTGGCCAAAGCCAGCCAGCAACTTCGAGGAGGTGCAGTCGAGGCCCCTCTTTGGGGTTGTCTTTGGGACAGCGGTGATGCTGTTCAGCTGCAGCCGTGCAACCGCCTTTGATGTGAGCTTTGCAGTGATAGATCGCCGCTAAAAGGAGCCCAACTTGGCAGGTATTTAGAAGAAGAGGAAGGGAGGAGGGAGGGAAGGCGGGGAGAGAGAGAGAGAGAGAGAGAGAGAAAGAAGGAGGGCACTGGTAGGAGGAGGAAAGAGAGGAGAGGAGAATTAGATTCCTTGGGAGCCTGCAGTGGACAGGTGCAAAGAAAGGTAAGCGAGGGAGAAGGAAAAAGGGCGTTACCTGAGGCTTAGAGACCTGCCCAGACACACATGAAAGAAAAATCAAAGCTTTGACAGTTTAACTCACTAATTTTAAAACACTAATAAAATGTACAAGCATTACTCCTTTCTTTTATCATTTAGATGGGGGATTTTCTTTACATAATCAAGGTTAGGTAAGGAACACACTCCCTCCCCCCTTTACAATTTCTCTTTAATGTTTATCTTTACTCAGCACATAATATAACCAAAATTGCCGTATATATACATATACACATATGTATTTTTAAGTGTGTGCTGAGGCCATGAACTTCTAATTAGTGTAAAATAATAACATAATATAATCAGGAGCCAAAGGATTTACAGTAAATCCAAATAGGCTGGAAAGAAATGGTTTACATTTCTATATTTTGCCATGAATAGAAAATGAGAATCTGGAACATTGTCATAAAGGATGAGTGGCCTCTTGGGCCCTTATACAATCTAAGAGCACTTTCCTGTTTTTCTTAGTTGCGTTTTTGTAAAAGCTAGATTTTTTGTTTACATTTGAATTATAAAATCTAAAAATAACTCAATGGAAATAGTCTTGATGCTTGATGTGTTTTGACACTTCAAAAAGTTACTGGTAAAACTGAAGAGTGCTTGGGCATATTTGTAAAATCAAAAACCGCGAAGGAATTAGATATATGTCCATTTAAACATTGAAACTGGTTTTGCACCACTGGTTAAATTCAAGGTCTTTCTGTTAAAATTTTTCAGTGGTAGAAGAGTTGAGAATCATTGGGCAGATTCACACTTCCTCTGAGTGAAAAGTTTTAGGGAATTGATGAAGATTACTTTCTCAGTCTTGTTTCATGGTCTGTTCAGAAAAAGCATCAACCTGGGAGCTCAGTTGGATTTGACTGGTTTATTTTATTTGCTCTGAGGAATTTTTTTCTAATTAATTGGCAGGTGCTTTAAAGTGGGTATAGTTACACATTTTCATCACTACAGGCCTAACTACTGACCCTTGTGTAACCAAGTTATAAAAGAGTTCTTAAAGCAAGTGATTTACTGTTGATAGATATGAAATAAAACAAAAACACTGACTAAAAACAATAAACAGATAAATCACTTTAGAAACGTATATTGCTAAATCTGTTTTAAAGGTTGTACCAGGTAAAAGTTATATTATTTCACCTTTCAAATAACAGCAGTCTGTCTTGTGGTGGGACCCCAAATCCACCATAATCAAGATTTCAAAGCACATCTGTGTAAACATTATCACGTCAGTGTAAAACATCAACCAATGAGCTTTTACTTTGAACCAAATCTTCTTAATTGCAGTGTTAAATCAAAGAAAGTTAGATCAAAGTTGTGTGAATCTCATAGCAGGATAACTGAAGTAGCCAGTACATCCACTGATCACTTTTAAAGAGGAGATACTTAAGGGTTTTAAACTTAGATCAAGTGCCTTTTAATGAGGTTTGTTTCAAGGTCCAAGTTCTGTGCAACATATAATGTTGTTAATTATTCCACAATGGAAATATATTATCATCGCCTGCTTCTAAAGCTACTAGTTCAGTCTATAAACTATTTTCCCACATGAACACTTTAGTCCTGCTGTGTGAGCTATAGCTCTTAGACTGTTCAAATCTCTTGTATTGCTTATATATATACTAAAATATGGGGAATTTCTTATTCAGAGTCATGAAACTTTAAATACTTTCATAATAGAATCGCCTTCTCTTTGTACACCTTGGTATTTATATGTGTCTTACCTCATTTGATCACCACAATGACCATACAACATAGGCACATCCTGCTTTACAGAGAAAAAAATGTGGTCCTAGATTCTAGTTTAGTCCAGAGTCCAACATCCCAGGCCAATTTCCTTAAATTCTCTAAATGCTTTTATTTTCTCTTTTGTAAAATAAGGATAATATAACTCCAGCCTAGCTACTATGCCTACAGTTGCTATGAGACTTAAATGTAAAAACATATAGGAAAATGGTTTTAAAGTAATAGTTTTCTATGCATAGAATATGCTAGAAAACTTTAGTTGTGAAAATTTTTGCTTTATAACGTAACAAATATAATTGGTCTGAAATACAAAATAAATCTTTTTTTCCCAAACCAAACCTTTAATGTGTAAGTTTTGAATGGTGCTTAATGCCGTTTTATAAAGGACCAGACTAGAAACAAAAAGATAAGGATTTCTTTTGTTTGCACTAGTCATGTGACAGGAAAAGATAACACCAAAGATTTTTTTTTTTTTTTTTTTTTTTTTTTGCACATGCTGTGATGATATCATGGGAAGTTAAATAATTTTGAAGAGTGTTTTACAAGAGTGCATTATTCAACTTTTAAGTATACACTGCAATCTAATCAACTTTACCTATGCTTCCTAGAGACCACACTTGCCTTGCTGTTATACAAATACATGGTACAACTTCTACTTCCACAAAATGTAGTTAGAGTTTTCCAGACTATATAATCCCTATATAGGTTTTCGGATGATATATTCTCATGAATCTTTGTTTTTACACATGAAGAGTTCATACCTTTTGATGCTGCTAGATGTGTTCAATTTGAGAAAAAGAAATAGAGCTGATTTAGTAGTCATGATTTACACCCTCAATAAAATAAGAGTATATTTACACATTATTCATTATTTATAATTACAAAATATTAGCAACCACATAAATTTCCATACATAGGAAACTGAATAAATTATGGTACATTCACACAATGGAGCACTATACAGCTGAGAAAGAGCTCTATGAATGATCATGGAATATTTTCAGGATATACCGTTAAGTGAAAATAGCAAAGAATATATATTGTGTCTGCCTTTTCTGTAAGAAAGAAAAAAACGAGAAAAGTCTACATGTATATGATTATTTATTCTAAAAAATAAACACAGAATGGATAAACCAAAAACTAATGAATTTGGTTACCTGGTTACTTGGTTACCAGGGGATGGATATGAATGGAGTGGAAGGGATGGATGGGTGACACTGGTCTGAGAACTTTTTATAGAGTTTTGACTTTTGGAGAAACGTTGATGTTTTACATTTTTAAAAAAGTAAAATAAAATAAAAAATGAGAGAGAAGTGGGGACGGAATAAAAGCAGGAACAAATGAACCTAACTGTATTAAAGTGAGTAATATAACCACAAAGAAGGGATGAATAACATATTTTAAAAAAAAGAAAGAAAGAAATTCAAGTAACTATCAAATTCTGTCTTTTGATGATATAATCAAGGTCTAAAGAAAAACTACATAAACAAATCTCGAACTTCAATGAGAAAGATTGTTTTCCTCAGCAGCAGGGGTTAGAGTAGTGTATTGTAGGATTGAACAAATGAATAAATATATTGAAGATAATGAGAACTAGGGGTTTCGTTATTAAAGAATAGAGTTCTAATATGAAAAGAAGGAAGATTGGAATGAACCTTGTAGTGTGAAATTGGAATCGCCACTATCAGTATTAATACTTGGTGCCTGTGTGTGTGTATATGCATGTGTATGTACATACCTTAGCCCTGTCCACTAAAAGGGCCTAGAAGCAAACATATCCCAAGTCAATGAGCATATGTGACATGTAAGCCTTGGTTTCTCAATTCAATCTCCTACTAAAATGATCAATGGAACCTTGGAGAAATGTCTGGTTCCAGGACTGGGGCATTATTTTATGTGCCAGAAGGCAAAGAAGTACTGAAAAAAAAAAAAAAAAAAAAGAATAAGGACATGTCCAGGGGACATAAGCCAAATCTGGGACAATTTGAGCATCAAAATAAATAATGATAGGAACAAGTTATTTATGAAATAAATAAGAACATTTGAGTGCCACTGTTTAAGTACACAAACTACCAATCAAACAATAAGGGAGAAGGGAAAACTTTATCTCATGGCAGAATGTCAACTAATATATAGTGAAAGAATGATGGAATTAGAAAAATGACCACTTTGCATCCATCCTAGGGTCATTGCTGGTCCAGACGAAAACATCAATGCATGCTAAAACTTGTGGATAAAAGTTTGATAAAGAAGAATATTACAAAGAGAAAAGAACAACTTTATAGTGAATTAATCTAGTGAGTACAGTACTATCTTAACCACGTGATAAAGGTGAGTAACAGTAACGGGACAAGCCAACCCCATATGCCTCTTCATACCCTAAGAAGAGTACAATGTCACTTACATGTTGTTACTATCGAAAACGCATAATCTGAATCCAATCATGAGGAAACATCAGATAAACCCCAATTGAGAGACATTCTTCAACTGGCTGTGCTCTTCCAAAATGTCAAAAGTCTCTTTAGGAGACTACAGGCCAGGCACAGTGGCTCATGCCCGTAATCCCAGCACTTTGGGAAGCCGAGGTGGGCAGATCACTTGAGGCCAGAAGTTCGAGAGCAGCCTGGCCAACATGGTGAAACCCCGTCTGTACTAAAAACACAAAAATTAGCCAGACATGATGGTGCATGCCTGTAATCTCAGCTACTCAAGAAGCCAAGGCAGGAGAATCGCTTGAATCTGGGAAGCAGAGGTTGCAGTGAGACAAGATGGAGTCACTGTACTCCAGCCTGGGTGACAGAGCAAGAGTGTGTCTCAAACAATTAAAAAATAAAAAAGCAACTAAAGAGACATGAAAACTAAATGTGACAGATGGTCTTGGTATGGAGCCTGAACCAAAAAATAACGGTAACAATGACAGAGAACATTATTGAAACAACGGGCAACATTTGAATGTGGAGTGTGAATTTCAAAATAGTACTAATAAATGGTGCTGCAATAATTCGCGAGCCATATGCAGAAGATTAAAACTGGACTCCTTCCTTATACCATATACAAAAGTCAACTCAAGATGGATCAAAGACTTAAATGTAAAACCTGAAACTATAAAAACCCTAGAGATAACCTAGGAAATACCATTCTAGACATAGGACCTGACAAAGATTTCATGATGAAGATGCCAAAAGCAATTGCAACAGAAAGAAAAACTGACAAATGAGACCTAA